CCCCAAAACCCCAAAACCCCAAAACCCCATAACAAGCCTGTTACCTGAATATAATAATTCTTTAAATAACAATGAAGGTAAGCTCTCATTCCCCACCAAAACTTGACACAACCGTCCAACCCCCTTCATCCTATCCCCTCTCCCCAACCCCTTCTTTCTTCTTCCCAGACCAAACCAAAAAAATCCTGTCCCCCCTAGCCAAGCCTGGCTTCAGTACCCTCCCCTCTACTTCCTTGGTAACTCTGGCTGGGAAGAAAGTAGTGAGGATTAAGAAGGAGGAGGAATGAGAGGGGGAGTGGGAAGTAGGGTGGAGAGAAGAGGGTGGATGGGTAGGGGTGAGGTATGGATTTGTGGAGGATTTTAGGGTCATTTGGGACGTGTTGGAGTAGTTTATGCAAAACATGTAAGGGGGGTAGGGAAGATAGGTATGGTTAAGTGTTTTAGAGTGTAAACATAGTAAACCATGATAATTAAGAACTATCTAAATTTTTGTGTATATTAAAAAACATCCATCTTCACCAAATCGTGCTATAATTTTATCCCGCCATCAATTAAATCCAATACCTCACCATCACCTATCTAAATTTCTAAAGACTCCCTTATAAAACCAAATAAAAAGACATTTACAAAATTCCCACTCAATTTTCTGCCATAAACCTCCAATTTCCCACTCTCCAACCCCTCCACCCTCCCCGTCACTTCCCCAAGCCCCTGTTCTCTACCTCCAAAATCCCCCAAGCATGAAATCATAAAAACCAGTTCAATCTCTGCCTTATGAATAAAAGAGCAAATGAGTTTCAGCAGATTTTTACGATTAGTGTAGAAATGGATATCTGTTAAGAAACACAATATTTTGTGAATAGTAGCAATTTTTAAATTTTGAGTTTTTATGAATTTTATAGATTATCATATTTCTGTTATCAGTAGTGGCATCCTCGATGTGCTGACAAGATGGGTATTATTCATTCAACAATGGATGTAAGCCATGCGATTCCTCATGAAAGACTTGATCCTCAGATGCAAGTTGAGACACTTGTGAACTTTTTATGCAACTTTCAGGTATCAGAATATGTAAACCATAATATAGCTTCTAATTTTTGAGAATATTGTCCAGATGGAGAATACTTCGATTTCACCTCCAAACTTTGCAGAAGCTGCCCTAGCACTTGTGATGGAGCTTGAGCATATCAGAGTAGCTGATTTGAGTGTCCAGTTGATCAGAGTTTAGATTTGAAGACTTTGGAATGAGTTGATAGTTGTGACTCATTAACCCAGGTCAAATTAACAGGTTTACAAATCTCATTTCCGAGTGTTTGCAGAGATTTTGAATATTACGTAGATCCTACTTCCACCGAGATTATTGAGCTTGGAACTCAAAAGTATCCCTACAGAACATTGAAATCAGTGACATCAGAGATCCTAAACCACCTGTCTCACAAACAAGTAGAAGTCACGATCTACACCAAAGATGTCTACTTAGAAGACAAGACAATGCTCTTCATCAATATCACAAACATAAAAATTACAACTCATCCTGATTTCATTCCATGCGGTCGCAAGGCCAGACTCACCCTCACAGAATTCATCCAACCTACCCTCAGCTCCAAAGCAAGGGTTCACTTACTATCTCACACAGATCTCCCATTCAAAGCACTAATCACAGAAGGCAACTTCACTGACTCTGAAAAAACACAGACAGATAGCTTGAGTAACCTTCCTTCTAACTTCCAGATTCCAACTGCATCGTTCGGTCAGGAATAGAATTCAACAACATTGATATATACAGAGAGCAAATTGACCATAGCAAGGACATTCTATTCCTGCAAGCGATCTATCTCCAGAACATGGACATCAGATTTAGTAACACTTTTGCTTTACTTTTAGTCAATACATTCATCAACATAAGTGGACAAGTGCTCTTAACAATAGACCCGTTCAACCTGTAAGCTACTTAGATGATATCCTAGGGTAATTCATGACTCAAAGATTGATATGTTCACGCTGACAATGCAATTTTTGATGTATGCTGGGTGTAATTACCCAGAAGCATACACAACTGCCACTATCGATGTGAGGAACTATACAATGATGAACTCTAAAGACCGGGTTATAAATAGGAATCCATATGGGATTGATTCAAACCATGCGGGTAATTGGACAATCAAGGATCTTGATGCGACGACTTACTATGGAACCATCACTAACGTTGTCTCTTCTATTAGTATTGTCCAATTTCCTAATTGTAATCCTGATGATGATTTGATCAAAACTATTGATATTGATGGGGCAGATTTCAGTCTGCCAGACTCAGATCCTTCAAAGATTAGCGGGTTTCATAGTGATATATCAGTGCAGCATTATCGGCCGATACATATCATTGGGCAAAATTTGCATTTCTTCAATTTATCATATCCAGGATTTCCTCTTCTTGCTTTAGGAGGTACTCAAATTGACACTCTGTATATTAAGAGTATGAAGGTTACAAATTGAGATTTAGTTGATGCTCTGTTTTATTCAGCAATGGTAAAAGAGGTTATTTTTGGAGATAATACTCAAGCAGAACCCTCAATTGAGATTGATTCTTTATCAATTATGATACCTTCTGCTTTCTTGGTTCAGTATCTTCAAAAATTTGAGATAAATAATCTCAAATTAACTAATTTTACTGGCTCTCCTGCAGTCGATCTAGCATTTATCCAATTTATGCTATTCCCAAATTCTATATTTCAGGTTCGATCTTTAGAAGTGATTCAATCTAACTTCTTACGTTCAAAGTTGGTATTGCAATCAGAATTTATGAATCAAGTAATTTTTGAAGACATAAGTGTAAAAAGTTGTTTAATCAATCCTTCAAGCAGCTTATTTTCTTTGAACAGTATTCAAAGTATTCAGTTTTCCAATGGAATTTTTGATGGAATAGTTGTTAGTGATCCAAACGATATTTCTAGTTCTATTATCAGCTTGGAAGACTATACCTTACAAAATCCTCTCAATTCTCAGATCCTTAATGTTGAGGTGTTTACTAGTCAAGTATCAGTGTTCAACATTGAGAAGTTGTCTGGAAGTGCACTGGAAGAGCAGATTTTTGAATTTACAAATATTTTTGTGCATGACATGATCATTCCGAGTTCAAGAAGTCTCATTGATACATCTGGTTTTGTAGGTACTGGAGACCTCAAAGTCATAATGGATAACCTCACTTTTGTAAGAGTTAATTATAGCAGAAGTGGAAATAACCTCAAATTCAGTCATAGTCTAGATAACGAAATCATTGTCAAGAATTCGCATTTCAGTAACTCTGATTCCTCATCGATACTCCTGGATAGATCTGGGGATGGATCTGATGTCAGAACTGTTGTAAAATTTGAGAATGTCACATTCTCTAACAACATTGTTAAGAATAAAGCAGCTATCCAAGCTAGCAATGCAGTGAAACTGATTTTAGTTGATTCTGTGTTTACTCAGACAGGTTCACTTTTTGAAAGATCCACACTCTTTCATTCAGAAGAAGGCTCTGAACTTGTAATTACAAACTGAGAGTTCAGTGAGAACTATGGACTTGCAGCATCCCTGTTTACTATGGAGTCTGGGTCACATGTTCAATGTTCTAACTGAACAATTAAGAATAACTTTGCACTATCTGGAGGACTTGCTAGAGCTATAAACAATGGATATTTCAGCATTGTAAACTCAACAATCACACAGAATCATGCAATCCAGGCTTCAATTGCTCAGATTTTTGATGCCTCTGAAACCAGTACAGTCGATAGTTCTGAGCTGTTCAATAATAGCCCGATCACGAGTAATGAATACGAATCAGAGACGACTTCATGTTCCAAGCTGTGTTTCCTGTCTGATGAGTTTAAACAGTATGTGGAAAATGATAATTTGCATAAACTGGTCGAGTCCCAAGTGCTGTTTGAAGTTATTTCAGGGTCTTTTTCTGTCAGAAACAGCTCAAACATTCACTCTGAGCAGCACCCAATTCTGAGCTTAATGTCAGACATTGAGATTGATTCATCAACTCTGAGAAACCTCTCGTTCTCATCAACATCGATCAAAGTGGCCACTTCAACAATTGTTCTGAACAATGTAACTTTCGAAGACATATTTGCAGAAGCAAACTCAGAGCTGATACTTGGAGATATTGGAAGTGTCCTTAACCTGACAGATATCATCTATAAATCTTCGAATGCTCTATTCTTGAGAATTTCTTCAAGCCAGCTTTATGCAAACCAAGTAATGATCGAGAACATCCATACCCCTCAAGTACTGCTGAATATTGAGAAAGCAGAAAGGGTTTCATTGAATAATTTTGAAATCATAAATTCGACAGTGACCTCAGATGAATTGGTGCATGTCTCAAGGTCTGCTCAAGTCGAAATGGATGGATTTGTTGCAAGAAATAACACTGACAAGAATGTGATGTCGATCACCAATTCTCATGTTTCTCTTCTTCAAAATCTCAACATCAAAAGCTCTCTAAGAGCACTAGAAATCATCCAGACTATCATTGATAGGATTAATGGGTCTACTTTCATCAATAATGGGAACATTGATTCCAGTACCGGAGGAGCTATCTTGGTGCAGAACAGCAAAGTTAGGATTGAGAACTCCACTTTTAATCACAATGCAGGCTTGAAAGGATCCGCCATCGCTTTTGAATGCACATCTTTAGAACTTTGAGATTTATCACTGGATGATGTTAACTTTACAAATCAGAGGGCATCTCAACAAGGTGGAGCCATAAACTATAATTATAAACCTCCAGTTATCACTAACTGCACATTTACAAACAATAGTGCCCAGTACGGACCTGACATAGCAAGCTACCCAGTCAGAATCAGAATGACACAAGACATACACTCGGATATGAGCCTGACAAATGTAGGTCCTGGCATTGGATTGGACTCTTCAATCAAACTTTCCCTATTAGACTTTGACAATCAGACAATGGTAATGAATAATGATGATCAGATTTCAATATTTGCAGTAGACACTCAGAGTTCTTCAGTTAGAGGCACCAACACAGTTCAACTCGAAAAGGGAGTCTCAGAATTTGACTCTATCCAGTTTGTGTCTGAGATTGGCTCTAAAAATGTCAAGTATAGAGCAGTATCTAAAGCTATTGACAATACCAAAGTAAACAAACTCTTCAATTCCTCATTAGTGGAGAACCAGATCACTGTGAATTTCAGATTTTGCAAACCTGGTGAACGCATTGACAACCAAAATATATGAACTGAATGATCAGCTGGCACTTACTCACTCAAATGGAACTCTACTTTCTGTTCTAAATGTATGAACAATGCTTTCTGACCTGGTAAAGAGCAAATACAAGTCACTTCCGGACACTGGAGGAACACTAGAAACTCTACTGAGATCAAGGAATGCTTAAAGTCAGATGCCTGCAAGGGAGGGTTCGATCTTGACTCCACCCACCCAGTTGAATGAGCAGAAGGATACACTGGAAACCTCTGAAGCAAATGAGTGGTCACTAAGAATGTGAAGTATGCACAAACTGGAGATTATGAATGCTCCAAATGCCCTAATCCAGTGTTAAATGCAATCAGAGTTGTTGGTGCTGCACTTCTAGTGTTTGCATTTCTATGCTTCATGATTATTATTAACATCAGGAAGACAAAAGAAAGTAATTTATCGGTTCTTTTCAGGATCCTGACTAACTACATTCAGATTGTTTCAACCTCAATCAGCCTGACTGCCAACTACCCAAGTTCTGTGACATCGTTCTTTTCTATAGTCGATGAGATTGGGTCTTCAAGTGAAACTTTCCTGTCATTCGATTGATTCATTGAAGATTATGAAGTGAAAGGTCCATTTAGTTCAAACTCAGTGTTCAAACTATTCTTGATGGGTCTGTTGCCTATTATCCTATTTACACTAGTTGCATTAATATGGGTAATTATCAAAACTATCGGGCCTTCCTCAGTAAAAAGCCTTGAGAGAAATTTTGTTATATCCTTCATTTCAATCTTATTCTTGCTGCATCCAACGATCACTGAACAAAGCTTTGGACTGTTTAGGTGTGTGGAGATTGATGAAGGAGTAAATAAAGTTAGAATAGATATGGATATGGATTGTTACTCATCAAGACATTTAAAGTATTGCCTGATGATAGCAGTCCCAATCATCTTGATATGGGTAATATGCTTTCCACTCATCGCTCTGATTCTGTTGATAAAGTATATCAACAAACCTGGAGAAAACAAGATCAAAAATTACTTCTTGATCCTGTTCCAGGGATTGAACAAATCTTCATTTTATTGGGAGTTTGTTAACACAGCAAGGAAGATATCTGTGATCATCACCTTTCCTTTCAACACTACTACCAGGCTATTATGTGCTTTGATTGTTTTAATTGTATTCACAAGACTAAACGACACTTTGAAACCCTACAAAGAAAATGCTTTCAACTCACTTGAAATCTCAGGTTCAAATGCAGGAATTGTAATACTCGCTGCAGGTCTAGTATACTCCCAAGATGAAGAAGTAAACTCCCTCAACACCATAATGATGATCATAATGATAGTCTTCAACTGCCACTTCATCCTGGAATGGACTTACCAATTCCTAAACCTATACCTCACCCAGTACAAACTCCTACGCCCAGTAAGCCTCCCCTCATCCTCTAGCTGTCCGCCCTCCTACGAATCCTTCTCCTCAAGAAGAAACCGACCCCTCCTCCCTCAGAAGCCCCTTCCCACCCAATCAGTAAGCCCCTTGACCAACCCTCTATAGACCAACCCTCATCTCCCAGGAAGAAAAAGTCCAAGTCCAAGTACAAGCACAAGAAGTTGCTGAAGAGTAAGCATTTTAAGCTGAGGGAATTTACCTTTGTAGAGAAGCATTGCAAGAAGAAGCGCATCAGGTTTGCCCACCAGTCCAGGTAAGGGAGCAGCGGATATTGGGAAGAAGGAATGTGATTGGGTGATTAGACTAGTTCTGATTAGGAAATGCCGAATTGGTTAAACCATGAGGTTGATATGTTTAACACTATTTATGTGTTCTGAGTCCAAATTAGCGGAAGAATGATAGGGATTGATATTTTTATAAATTTTTTAAATAAAAAGCTAATTACTAAATGAGCATTTTCTTATTTTAGTAATACATCATATTTAAGTTAGAATAAGAGGGAAAACCTTCTATCTCATACAATTGATGAGTATGCATAACTTAGACTCTGTATTAAATCCATATATTACTGATTACAGATTTTATCGCTAATAAAACATCTTGCTAAGATAATCTCCCAGCATCCATTAAAAAGATGCCAATGAATATTTAGGAGAGACATGAAGAGTCCAGACAAGTTAGCCAAGGTAAAGTAAAAGTTTCTTCATTTATTCAAACCTGCATTAACCCAGTGCATACCGAATTGAACTAGAACTGCCGGGATAATAAACTCCATGCAATACTTCTACCTTTAAAGATGATTGCTTGGCAGCCATAGCTATTTGAAGGTGCTGGTTCATGTGATGAAGCAGTTGACGAGGTTCCAAGATTTTGAATTTGTATTAAATTCATTTAGGATCCATCGTATCTCAAGAAAGTTTTAGAAGAAGGAGTCATCTTTGATGATTTGAGTGAAACAGACAGAGCACTTATGTTGAATAGTAATGACTCGATTTAACTTTAGAAATTAGCACGAGAAGAGGAGGAAAACTGTTTTGGCCCTCTGCTAGAAAAAATGAATTGTCGATAGAGGGGAGATCAAGTCTAGAAGATGGCATTGATTTATATCAAGAAAATGGATTCTCGTTGCAGTAAGCTCTTACATTACATTTTAGGAAAAGCATACAAGCACCACAGATGTTTGCAAACTTGAAGGAAGAGTCCAAAAGTCATCCTTCAAGAGACAGCCTTGAAATCCCAGTAGCAAGTTCCTCTGACAACCCAGACTCATTAATCCCTGCAGATTTGATTTTAGAATGAAGTAAGGAATCAAACGAAGAGAGCTCAAAATTCAAAACCCCAAAAAACCCAATAAATGCTTCATATGCTTAATTCAATCTCTACATCTCTCTTCGGGGTTTTGGGGTTTTGGGGTTTTGGGG